AGCTTTACCATCGGAAACTTTCCTGGGACTTTCATGCCAGAGCTATCAGGAAAGACTTGCTTGTTACTCTGGAGTTGCTGAGGATATGAGTGTGGCATCTTGCTACATAGAAAGCCTATTCAAGAACAAAGCCAAATAGAGCCACAATGTGGGGAGAGAGACCCAACCTGATGATAGTGTGAGCTTTTATAACCATCCATGCCTGAGGCAGCACCACCTCTCCTTCTGTGTAGCTTGTTGCCTAACTTGAGTTAGGTCTCTGTCATTTACTATCCAAACGATTCTGACTAGCACAGGCCTACTCAGCATCCTGCTTACACACTCCTGTAACCCTGGAAGCTGGAGCCCCTTGATCTGCTATAGCTGGAGCCTCTGCCTTTGATTCTAATCTGAACTTGGTTTAAGGGACTATGAGAAACTAACCAGCCTCTTGTCTTATTTCTTCTATTGACAGCCCCTTCTTTGTACCCCAGCCTCAGGAGCTAAAGCCCTGTCTTACTTCATTATCCTGGCTCTTTGCCTTTTCAATTCTCCTATGGACAGGCTCTGAACCTAGGACTCCATGGCTAGAACCCACCGTCTGCTGCTATATAGCTTGAATATTACCTGAGCCTGTCTAGACTTCCACCTGTGGTCCATACCAGTCCTGTTTGATGCAAACTACCACTCCTAATCCCTGTGTACCATGGGTCTACCCATCCCACAAATGGCCAAGTTGCAATTTTATCAACTTGAGGCCTCACAGTACAACTTTCCCAAACTGTGGTCTATGGGACTCGATTCAGTGGGACGTAAATAGATATTCCATTAACATAGAGGGGAAAAAACAAAGCTGGCAATAGTTTTTCTTTAATTTTATCTTTTAAAATATATTTAAAAAACTGGAGTAGCATTTTACATAGGAGTTATCTTCTAAAGTTGGTACTTAAGGAAAAAATCTTATCTTGTCAAAACTGCCTTTGGTAAACCCTTGACACAAAGCATAGCAAACAGATCCTCTACCTTCCAACAAGTCCACCAGAGCCTATTTTTCCTCCAGCCCTGGAACAAATTGCTATTTTTCCAGTTTTGCTCCAGGTGAAGGTGAAAGAGGAAGCTTTTTTTAGGGAACATGTTGAGTGAAGAGGATGTATCTAGATTCTTAGGTAGGGTGGGCAAGACAGTCATTCTGTGAAAGGCATGTGGGAACAGAAACGGGCTGAAGGCCCAACTCAAGTATCCCATCTCACACTTGGTTTGGGGCCCCCCAGTCACTCAGTCATTACACTGTTTAAATTGCACTGTCTCTCCAGGCACCCGTGGAACATGTATAACTGGATTTGAGGGAATTAAGTGCATGTAAGATAATATTCCACCATATGAGAGAAAAATATTTATCATTATAAGGTGCTCTCATAATAATCTGCTTTTATATGTAATAATTTGCTTTTAAGAAATTGTGTGCCAAGAATACCAGGAAATCACATCACTTGTTACATGCAGTTGTGACACATGATCTATGTATTGGTGCATAAAGGAACATTTACTAACTATACTCTTCATCATCAGTTCTATATCTGGCTTAAGTAACATGTCTTATTTTAGAATTTAATATATCTGTTTATTATTTAGTGTTTGTTGCATAGTAAACATAGGAATCACATTGTGTTAATCCTAATAATATTATTAATAAGAAGAAGTAACACTTGGGTAAGGGCTTGCCATACATCAGTTATTTTCCAAGCAACTTTGCATTTAGTAGCTCATTTAATTCTTTTGTTAAAAAGATTTTACTTATTCATTCATGAGAGACACACAGAGAGAGGTAGAGACATAGGCAGAGGGCTCCCCGCAGGGAGTCTTATGCAGGACTTGATCCCAGGACCCTGGGATCATACCCTGAGCAGAAGGTAGACGCTCAACCACCGAGCCACCCAGGTGCCCATGTAACTCATTTAATTCTTACAACAACCTTTGTCCTCATTTGATAGACGAGAAACTCAAGGCTCAAAGCAGTGAAGGATTATTGAATCCACATTTCCAGATCTCAAATCCCAGGCATGGATGTGGTTATTTTGGCAGTCAGCGGAGAGAATGCATATGAAAGTGCCTATTATATTCAAAAAGATTATTTTGACTCTTTTTTTTATATTCAAGTATAATTAACATAGTGTTATATTAGTTTCAGGTATACAATATATGATTCAACAATTCTATACATTTCTCAATGCTGATTGAGATGTGTCCTCTTAATCTCTTTTATCTATTTCACCCATTCCCCTATCCATCTCCCTTTGGTGGCCACCAGTTTGTTCTCTACGTTTAAGAGTCTAGTTTTTTTTTTTTTTAATTTTTATTTCTTTATGATAGTCACAGAGAGAGAGAGAGAGAGAGAGAGAGAGAGAGAGGCAGAGACACAGGCAGAGGGAGAAGCAGGCTCTATGCACCGGGAGCCCGACGTGGGATTCGATCCCGGGTCTCCAGGATCGCGCCCTGGGCCAAAGGCAGGCGCTAAACCGCTGCGCCACCCAGGGATCCCAAGAGTCTAGTTTTTTGTTTGCATGTTTTTTCTTTGTTCATTTGTTTTGTTTCCTAATTCCACGTATGAGTGAAATCATATGGCATTTGTCTTTCTCTGACTGACTTATTTCACTTAACATTATACCTTTTAGGTCCATCCATGGTGTTGCAAATGGCAAGATTTCAGTCTTTTTTATCACTGAGCAATATTCCATTGTATCTATACCACATCTTCTTTATCCATCCCTCTATTAGTGGGCGCTTGGGTTGCTTCCATATCTTTGCTATTGTAAATAATGCTGCAATAAACACAGGGATGCACATATCTTTTCCAAGTAGTATTTTCATTTCCTTTGCGTAAATACCCAGTAGTGGAATTACCAGATTATATGGCAATTCTATTTTTAAGTAAAAAAAAGATTGTTTTTAGGGACGCCTGTGTGGCTTAGCAGTTGACGTCTGCCTTTTGCACGGGGTGTGATCCCGGGATCCTGGATCGAGTCCCACATTGGGCTCCTTGCAGGGAGCCTACTTCTCCCTTGGCCTGTGTCTCTGCCCCCCTCTCTCTGTATCTCTTATGAATACATAAATAAAATCTTTTTAAAAAAGATTGTTTTTAAAAATAACTGCTGGGATCCCTGGGTGGCGCAGCAGTTTGGTGCCTGCCTTTGGCCCAGGGTGCAATCCTGGAGACCCGGGATCGAATCCCACGTCGGGCTCCCGGTGCATGGAGCCTGCTTCTCCCTCTGCCTGTGTCTCTGCCTCTCTCTCTCTCTGTGACTATCATAAATAAATAAAAATTTAAAAAATAAAAATAACTGCTGTTGGTGGAGCTCTTATGCTATGCCAGACATCGAGAAGCATTTGTCACACCTTTTTTTGTTTAATTATGGACTCTATGAACAGATGCAGAAAGAGAGGCTCAGGTTAAGTGACCTGGCCAGGGAAATTTAGCCAGGATTATGGAATAGGTTGCTCTAACCCTTAGCGAATAAACTACACTCTCTGCTTTAGAGATGCAAGTTTGCATCATCAGCATCACAAAGAGTTGTGGGGCATTAGCCATTAGGGAACTGTGAATTAAAACCACAATGAGAACCACTCACAGCTCACTAGGATTCCCAAAGTCCAAAAACCAGATGAGAGCAAGTGTTTGGTTAAGGATGTGGAGAAACTGGAACATACATTGCTGGTGGGAATATGGAATGGTGTAGCCAACTCCAAAAACAGGTGAGTGCTTTCTCAAAATGTTGAAAATAAAGTTACAGATGATCTTTTAGTTTCACTTGTAGGTCAGACCCAAGGAAACTGAAAACGTGTTCATGCAAACACAGATACACCAGTATTCATAGCAACATTATCCATGATAGCCCCAAACTGGAAACAACCCAAATGTCCACCAAAAAAAAAAAAAGTCTATCCAGACAATGGAATATTACTTGGCCATAAAGAGGAATGAAGTAGAAATACATGTTCCAAGATGAATGCACTTTGGTAACATGATGCCGAGTGGAAGAAGCCAGACACAAAGGACCACATAGTGCATGATTCCTTTTCTATGACATATCCAGAATAGGCGAATCCTACAGACAAAGAGTAGATCAGTGGATCTACCAGAGCTACAGGGGAGCAGAAGGATTGGGAGTGATGGCTCAGGGCTGTGGAGTTTCTTTTTTGAGGTGATGAAAATGTTCTAAAATTGATTGTGGTGATGGTTACACAACACTGAATGTGATAAAACTCACTAAACTGTATATTTTATTTTTATTTATTTTTTAAAGATTTATTTATTTATTTGAGAGTGAGCAAGCGAGTATGTGAGCAGGGGGAGGAGCAAAGAGAGAGGGAGAGAATCTCAAGCAGACTCCATGCTGAGTGCAGAGCCTGATGTGGGGCTTAATCATGACCTGAACCAAAGTCAAGAGTCAGATGCTTAACCGACCTAGCCACCCAGATGCCCCTAAATTGTACACTTTAAATGACTGAGTTATATAGTGTATGAACTATATCTCAGTAAACTATTAAGAAACAAAACCAAAAAAGCAAGGGAGGGGCCTTTCTAACACTAGAGAGGACTTAAAGTTACATTGACAAGTCTAGTCCTATTCCTCCCCTAAGTGGTGGTGATTCAGACAGATGCCAGCATTATCACTAGATGTGCCCTGAATCCTTGCCTCCTCCCTCAGAACCCAGGGTGTTGCCCTGTTTGCTACTTTGCCCAGGCATGCCCTGCCCAGCTCACCCTGGCAGGCCTGGGGTAGAACGCAAAGAGCCATTGCCTCTTATGGCTTCTTTTTGCAGCAGACTGGCACTATTTCCTGCCGCCTGCCGCTGTACCCCGACCTCAACCCTTCTCCCCACCTCCAGCCACAGCTTGCTATTAGAAAAGTTTCAGATTTAAAACCACATAGAATTCAAGATGTGCACCAGAAGCTGCACCTTGGGGATTTTGTGCTGTCGAACACTGCAGACATTTGGGGTAATCCCCACACCCTGCTTACCTGATGTAAGAAAAGATGATCACATGGAAGATCCACTTAATGGTGCCATAATTCATGCTCTGGATCCGGATGATTTTGTTTGTCTCATACTGGAAAATATCGTTACAGCTGCAGCAGGCTGACATGGTGAGAGGCTCACTCTCCACTAGGGTCTGAACGAGGAGGGTTCAATCCTTCCAGACCAAGCCACAGCAGGCCTACCAGTAAAAGGAAAATGAAACATTCTGATTCTTAGCAGGAGCCTTTAGGTTTGAGTTCATCCAATGACAGCTGAGTGGGGGCGGGTCCTGGCAGCTGCCCCAGATGTGGCTGGGGATAAACAAGAGAAGGGAAGTCCTACAGGCTTGGCTGGCAGATGACCCTGCTCCAGCCAGCCTCCCCCAGATGCCCGCACAAAGATGGTGTTCAAAGGAAGGGCATTTTTAGAATTCTGCTTTATCCCCTTCTTCTTTCACTTTTTTGGACTCCTTTCAGTTGGGGGAAAGGGGCAGCCCTTCAAATGTCAGGAGACCCAGTGCTTCCATTGTGCCTTAATAAAGAGGCTAGATCTTTCTGTTGCCTCAAGGCCCACTCAAAGGCTGACTGATTCATTTCCACAACCCTTTGTTCAGCCCCAGATGTCTATGAACACTGGGTGAATGGGGTCTCCCTCTTCTCCCTCTGCACACTTCCTCCACAGCACTCTGGTCTGTAGATGGTGGGGGGAATCAGAATTGCTGGGGCTGGGAGGGGAGGAAGACTTTATTTCTATCCTGGAGATTTCCTGCATGACCCTTAAGATCCAATCTTTGCTCTAGCCCCCAGAATTCCACTCATGACCTAGGCCAATCAGCCTAAGACCAGCAGAAACAAACTTGCCATTCAACGAAATTTGGTTTATTGCCTCATCAGTGAGACAGAGCTCATGCTAGAGGAGTCATCATCAAAGGATCATCATCAAAGGGACAGAGTTATCATAGGATTATGGACTATGGTGGAGTCTACATTAAATTTAAGTGAAAGCATTTTTTGATAGGCTCAAAACAAAGCAGATTTTATAAAACAGTCAACTCCAGATCTGGATTGCAGATTGGACCCAGGGCCCTGATTCCTTGGAAGGAATAAAGCTAAGGCAGGTGTTGAATGTTGTATCTAGAAACCATTTATTTGAAGCTCTGCACCAAAGGTACAAATTGAGGCTGTTTCTCTGTGGCCAGGTGACTTAGATCCTCCAGGCAAAAGTGGACTATTTCTTTCTTACTGATGCAATTTCCAATAGCAAATGTTCTGATAGTCTATGATTTTAGAGGATGACATTTCTAGTAAGAAAGTGGCAATCACTCAAAAAAGATGAGGAGAGGTGGCATTATCACTTTATCTAATAAAATATTGTTTCCTATTATTTTTGCAGCTGACTTTATCCATTTCTGCTCTTACAACCTGTTAAGTGGCCACACTAATTTTTACTTTTCTAGTCTGAATTAAATTTTACTTTTTCACTCATGTGAGCTACACCAGGAGCTACCTTACCTCCTGGCTCTCAGTTCAGGAGGCTGGAGAGCAGGAGGAAGTGAGATTGAATGCAAAGTTTCTTGGTCTTTCTCACAAGTGCACATGGCAGGTCTCCTGGTCTTACTGCTGAACTCCTACGCTGATCCCACATGCTCTCCCCTCTACTTCCTCCACCTTCTGTGTACTATCTCTCCTACCACCACTTCATGAATACTGTTCTTAATAAGCTTACCAATGAGTTCTCAGTTGCCATATTTAGTGATATATTTTATTCCTTATCCTATTTGACTTGTTGGACAAACATTATGTACTGTTCTCTACCCCGCCCCCTTTTTAAAAAGATTTTATTTATTTGAGAGAGAGAGAGAGAGAGAGAGAGAGAGAGAGAGCTCGCACAAGCAGGCAGAGTGGTAGGCAGAGCAAGAAGCAGGCTGTCTGCTGAGCAGAGAGTTGGATGCAGGACTCAATCATGACCTGAGCCAAAGGCAGATGCTTAACTGACTGAGCCATCCAGGCACCCCTCACTACCTCTTGAGCAATTTCTTCCTTTGATTTCCATGACTCCCCTGGGTCCCTTCTTCTAGTTTCTTATCTTTTTTTTTTTTAAAGATTTTATTTAAGAGAAGGAGACAGCATACAAGACAGTGAGCACAAGTGGGGGGAAGGGCAGAGGGAGAAACAGGCTCCCCGCTGAGCGGGGATCCCAATGTGGGGATCATGGAATCATGACCTGCACCAAAGGCAGATGCTTCACCCACTGAGACACCCAGGCACCCTTAGATTATCATCTTTACCTCCTTTTATGTATCAGTTCTAACAAATTCTGTTTGAGTATTTTTTATATTTCTATCAGTCATGATAGAACAGGTTATGTTGCAATAACAAACAGCCCTCCAAATCCCATGGCTTAAAATTTTATTTATTCCTCAATCCCATTTTATTCCTCATTCACAATAAATATTCACCATGGATCACCCAGGAAGCTCTGTTCATCGTAGTCACTCGGAAAGCAAAATTCATGGAACAGTTACTATCTTGAACTCTTGAATGAGAAATCTGGCAGATCTTACAGTGGTATTTAAATGTTCTGAACTTGAGGCACCTGGGTGGCTCAGTTGGTTAAGCGTCAGACTCTTCATTTCAGCTCAGGTCATGATCTCAGGGTCCTGGGATAGAGCCCCAGGTGGGGCTCTGTGCTCACCCAGGAGTCCGCTAGAGATTCTATCCCTCAAAAAAAAAAAAAGAGAGAGAGAGAGAGAGAGATTCTATCCCTCTCCCTCTCCCTCTGTCCCTTCCCTGCCCTCCCACTAATGTGCATAACCACACTCTCTTTAAAATAGATAAATATTAAAAAACAAAAAACTCTGACTTAGAAATGATGCACTCCCTTTTACCCCTAACTCATTGGTCAAAACTCATCACTTGGCCCCATCTAACCACCAAGGAACCAGGAAATGCAATCTCACCAAATATCCCCATCCCCCTTGCCCCAGTATCCAGAAACAGAAGAAGCAGACATATTTGGTAAATAGCACTAATGACTTCTCTGTCTTCTCCCTGGGAAATTTCATCCACACACATTCTTTTAAGAATCACCAAATACTAAAGAAAAGGGGATAGAAAGAGGGATACACGTATATATTATATTTTAACTATGCATGGAATACAGCTGGAAATAGGACTTACTACATAATTTAGGGGCCCAGTGCAAAATGAAAATGTGGGGTCCCTTACTCAAGATTAAGAATTTCAAGATGGCAACAGCAGAGCATTAAATCAAGTTCAGATCCGTTCTAGATCCTTATGTAACTGCACGAGTTATCCTCCTAAATCTGTGAAGCTTGCTGTGTCTGGAAGGATATACAAGATGATCTCTGGGGAGGGAACTGAGGCATTTGTCAGTGTTTGTCAAATGACTTATTTATCACTTTTCTATGAAGTTTTTCTACCATACCCATCCATCACTTTTTGAAAATCACTGATAGATTTTAAAAGTTTTTATTTCCAGACCAAATCGGCCTTCTGAAGTGCCACACTTGTACAGTCTATGAGCCTTCAGACCTAAAATTCCCATAGACACTTAAAATCACATCTTCAGAATGGCACACTTCTCCACAAAATAATAGTGCATATAGGGAGTGATTAAGGGGAGAGTGGACACACGGACATGGACTACTTTTCCTTTATACTCAGCTTGAGGGGAAGGGTGGTTTTTATTTTATTTTAAAGATTTTATTTACTTATTCGTGAGAGACACACACAGAGAGAGGCAGAGACACAGGCAGAGGGAGAAGCAGGCTCCATACAGGGTCCCAAGTCTCCAGGGTCAGGCCCTGGACCGAAGGTGGTGCTAAACCGCTGAACCACCCGGGCCGCCCCAAGGAAGGGTGGTTTTTAATGGGAGGTGTAGTGTCAAGGGAAGATTGGGAGAGGAGGTGGTTAAGATGGAAACATTTGAGCCATTCAAAGATGTTCAAAGTGGAATGTCAAGAATGATTCAGGTCTCTGTTTCTTTGTAGGAAGTCAAATCATTAATTGAATGGGGCTTGAGGGCTTGGGTGAATTTCTCTTAGTCAAGGGTGTGTATGTTTCTGGTTACAGGCCATAAAATCAAGTGATCTTCAGCAGAAAAGGTAGTTTTTTGAGGAAACACTGTTGTCTTACAGAGCTCAAATGCAGGAAACATGGTGAGAACTTATTAATAGGGAAATTAAAATGTCCCACGCTGAGGTTGCAATTTGGGTTTGTCTGAAGCTGTGTGGTCCTTCCTTGTCTGTCTCTCTCTGCATCCCTGTGCATCTCCATAAACATGGGACCCTTCTCTGACCCTCTGGGGGCATGTCACCAAACAAGGCTATCATAGCATCCACATTAAGTGGCCACAGTTCAAGTGAGGCCCCAGACCCACAGCTTAATTCCAGAGTCCCAGAAGAGTAAATCTGATTGGTTTGGCTATCTATCTCTGGTCCAATTACCTAAAGCTATGCGTGGGATCAAAGAAGAAACAGGACATCAGGGGCCTATTGGGATATAGCGGGGGTTTAAGGTGTAGGAGGGGGGAGAAGAAAGGAGGGAAGGGAGGGAGAGGGAAGAAAGGATTGGAAGGAAAGAAAGTAAGGAGGGAGAGAAAGAAAGAAGTGTGACTCTCAAAGGACAGAGGCTCCTAGGCTGGAAGACTCAGGTTAGATACTCTGCTCTCATGGGACAACACTGAGGCAGTCTAGGCAGTTTCTCAGAGGTCTGTAGTGGGATTGAGACCCAGATGCCTACGGCAGTGACCTGTTCTTCAATGCTTCCTGTATTGGCTGCCTTCTCTCCCTGTCCCACTTACCCACCTTCCTGGCCTCACCTCCCATAATGAAGTACTTGCACCTGAATTCTTGCCTTAGAGTCCACTTTGGGGAAACTCAGTCTATTTCAACCTCCTGTGGCTGCTGTTATGGAGTCAGGCATTTATGCTGAAAGCAATAGGTGCATCTGTAAGCAGAGTTGTGGTATGACTTCCTTTACACTTTAGTAAAATCACTAAAATGCACCGTGGAAAGCGGATAGAAGGGGGGCAGGAGTGGAGGCAGGGGATCTGCCCAGGGAGAGGGTACGGTGACATGTAAGGGGGCTGAAGGCAGATCTCTGAAGGATCCAACACCGAGAGGCATCAGAGAAGGAGAGAAAAATAAGGAGGGAGTGTGTACCCAGAAGCCAACAGAAGAGTGGTTCCCAATTGGACAGTCACCTG